GGCAGTGTAGTCTGCCGAGATGTGGATAAACCAACTTGGAGTACTGTTAGCCAGGGAAAGGGGGATGAGTGGGGAAGCAGGCAGTGTAGTCTGCCACAGCGACATGGCATGTAGGGCCCCTCCTGGGTCTCTGGTGTCCGCCTGGGATTTTTTCAGGAATATGTGATCTTTCGGATGGGAGTGTTTTAGTTCTCATTTATTTCAAATTCCTGTGAGTTCGTCTATGAATACCTTGTGATATCTTATCTGATAAATTTCAGTTGCCATTTTCCTGAAATATACTTATGGAATGATAATTTTTTCTTCTAGTTACATTTAATTTGAATAAGGGAGCATGCAGTTCCTCAGGAGGGGCCTCTTCAAAGTCAAGGTGAGCTATAATCACAGGTACCTTGGAACTTCAGGGGGTGGGTGAAATGTAGGTGGTTATTGCATGTTTAAGCATTATGAATCATTTTGTTTTCTGGTTACAGTTTTCTTCTTTTTTGATTTTTGTTGCTTGGTTGGGAGTTTTGTTTGTTTGATTGATTTTTAGCAACTGTGTTTAGCCTATGTATGATGAGATTTTTGATCTTTTGAGGAAAGACTTGTTCTGATTAAATGGTTCACAATGGTTCGCTGTGAATCCTCCACACAGCAGTTCTGCACTATTATAAAACCATTTATCTTCTTATCTTAGCCCACTTATCACAGCTTAAATGTTAACTGGTGTGTACATTTTTCTTTTACCCTCTGTATTGTGGTTTTCTAATAGGCACTAAGTAGTCAACATCTGTCCTTAGCACTATAATGACAGTAACACACTGGGTTTCTACCAGTCATCTAAAAGATCTCATTTAATCTTTATACTTGAGTTAGGAGGTGGAGATACTATTAGATAGAGGATTTCAGACTTGGCAAAATGAATCAAGGTCCTAACAGAAGAAAGTTCAAACCCTGACGTTCCCAACCCCGAAGCCTCAGCTTCCATCACTCTGCTGTACTGACACCAGGAGCTGTAACTGAAGGGGAGGGGAGGGTGCAGGGAGTTGAGGACAGGACAGTTTCAGTGTTCTGGTAGTGCTGGTCATCCTGTAAGAGATGCAGGCAGGCCCTTCACTGTGTTGGCTAATCTGCTATAAACGAATTCTCTAACAAGGTGATTCTGCATTGAGAACTTTGCACATCGTAAGCATTTGTTCATGTGTGGTTCTGGTTAACAAGCCTGGCTCTTCTTTCCGTCAGTTCTTTGGGCCCGAGCGCACTGAAGACGGTAGGGAGTGCAGCATCGGTGAAACGGAAGGAATCCTCCCAGAGCTCAGCTCCGTCCAAAGAAAAGAAGAAGAAGAAATCTGCACTGGACGAGATCATGGAGGTGCGTGCAGCTTGTGAGCTGCTCATGGGCATTTTAGCAATTAAAGGGATGATGTAATTTAACCCTAAGGAAAGTTGAATAGCTTCATGAATCATTAAATAAAACAAAGTTAGGAAGTTTTCATAGGTGAGTTAGGGAGAAGGAGCCTAACTGCAGTTCGGCCTGAACAGAGTTGCCCCCACCCCCAGGAGATTCAGTTTCTCACCTAGAGTCGGGTCTTTGAAACTCTCCATGCAATTATGTTCAGCGCAGTTCAGTGAGAAATCGTGATCCCTCATAGGTACTGTCTCTCCTCCAACTAGTATCTCCTTCCTGTTGCCCTTGAATTCCTCTTACCACCTAGCTAGCAAGGGAAAAGCTAGCTGTCACATGATGCAGATTTTCTTTTTTATTTAATTCAGGTCAGGCACGGTGGCTCATGCCTGTAATTCTGTTTCTCTCAGAGGGGGAATCACTTGAGCTCAGGAGTCGAGACCAGCCTGAGCAAGACCCTATTCTCTACTAAAAATAGAGAAATTAGCAGGTGTAGTGGCAGGTGCCTGTATTCCCAGCTCCTCAGGAGGCTGAGGCAAGGAGGATTGCTTCAGATCAGGAGTTTGAGGTTGCTGTGAGCTCTGACACCATGGCAGTCCCAGACAGCACAGTGAGAGTCTATCTCAAAAAAACAGAATTTTAATCCAAAGTAAGATGGAAAGTCAGATCTACTTTTAAATATAATGCAAACTAAATTTAGAATAATCCTTGTTCATACTGGAAGGCTGCAGAGTTTAAATTGAGGTTTAGAATCAACCGAAAATTCATTTGTTGATACCATCAAAAGTCGGTACTTAGGGTTAACTGCAAACAGTCGGGAAGGGGAAGGTTGAGACGCAGCAGCGTGAGGGCCGGGCAGGGCCTTTCCCTGCTGGTTACTCTCATATCTCTTCCCTGTCATTCAGTAAGTGTCATTTTCAATTTGCCATTAGACGGTATTCTTAACCATGCTGTGCTCAGCTAGGGCAAGAGTTACATATTTACTGCACAAAACCAGCCCGTTCTCCAGCGTTCAGAGCAGGCAGGGTGGTGTGGTGAGCCAGATGGACTTGCCATACTGGCCGGACAGGGGTCGCTTCTGTTTGCTTTCTGGGGCACTTGCTTTGCTCTAGCACATATTTTTTTTAAATCCAGGGTTTTTTTAAAACAGGAAACTAGTTATAAATAATGTTTATTTATATTTATCAGAATTTGCAAATGAGCAAACTGTATCGTCTGTCTTCTGTAAAGTATGTGTGATATAGTGTTATTTTCCTAACTAGAATAATAATTTTGAGGTGACTTGAGGATTTTAAAGAGATAATCTTAAGACTGTCTTCTGTGTCCACAGATTGAAGAGGAGAAAAAAAGAACTGCCCGGACAGATTACTGGCTGCAGCCCGTGAGTATTCAGCCGGAGTTTAAGTTCCCAGCTAAGTTCAGTGGATGATTTGAATAGCATTTGATATAAACTGCTGAATTTCTCAGACCTCTGTAAGGTGTATAGATGGAGTTCCTCATAATTTCTAATGCCTTTTCTTGCTATCATATCTTTGATGTCTTGGTGGCAGCTGTGCTGGAGGGTTTCTTCGTGCTCATAGGCCAGTTATGGTCCCTGAGTTTAGTGCTGAATTTGTATATGAATATCTTAACTTTGAGTCAGGAATTTTTGATTTTCACTGTCAGACAAAATGTTGTGTTTTCATAAATGGCGTTAAAAGGTAGAATTGTAATTGCTGAAGTGTTGGTTTTTAATTTATTGCATCCTGAAGTTAAGAGTTATCTATTTAGGGGCTTTGCAGAAAAAAGCAGTTTTAATTTTACAAACTCAAGGAAGTTTTATATTTTATTGCTTATTTATCTATTATTTAATATAATGTAAAATAGTTTTTAAATATTTAATTGTTTTTTTAAATTATTCTTTTTATGCTTTGTGTTAGACTTACTGAGATGTGACATTTTCATAAACCTTTCAGTGTGATTTAATTATTCTTGAAGAAGCTGGTTTGTCCATAATAGGGGGTGAAGAATAACACTTACATATTATTTCCATAATTTCTGATTGAGAAATAAAATGAACGAAAACATAAGAAGTCTGGGAATCTAATTCAAGGAAGGCTTCATGGTTGTTCTTCTCATAGCTGGAAATACTTTAGTTTCCGTGTTTTCGTTTATTTTCTTACACAGAGGGAAGCATTTCCACAGGTGATCACATGCAGGATCATGAAATAAATTATTTAAGATGAAAGTACCTGTGCGTTAAATAGAAAATAAGCACTTTGTATAAATTGGTTAATTCTTACCACAGCGCTCTAAGGGCATTCCCCTTATTGTTGCCATTGTACAGGTAAAGAAAGTAGAAAGTAGGGCATGAAGTAAATCATGTCCCCGAGGTCGCCTGGGCAGTGCAGAGTGAGGAGCTCCCTGGCAGTCTGGTTCTGTAGGTCGTGCCCTCCACGTCTGCGCAGTTCAGCCCCTGGTGTGCTGATCTGTGAGTGGAGGTTTGGGCCATTATAGACTCAGGTATCTCATGGGATAGAAAAATAAGGTTAATAAAGGAAGGACTTGTAGGGAAGAAACCATCTGTGAATTTTGATTTGTTTTCTCTATTAGAGTAACTGGTATTGGAATAGTAATAGTTTTATATATTGCTTATTAAATTGTAATCAAGAATTTTGCTGAAAATAGTAGCTCTTAACCGGAGAATTCAAAAGTTTAAACTTGATACTTGATAATTTTCTGTCTTCTGGAGGGTTTCTTTGTGTTTATGGGCCAGGGATGTTCCATGAATTGAGTGCTGGATTTGTGTGTGAATGTGAAGATTTCTCTGTGATAACTTTCTGTTTGTTGCAAGTGAGGATCAGCTAGCAGTGCTCTGATGACCCAGTGTGCTTCAGTTTGAAATGGGCAGTGTGTGTGTTAAAACAGCCAGGAATCCACAGAGATAGGCTTGGAGGGCCTGCTTTCTGAGCTCAGAATAAAAGTCATTTCAAACAAAGTGGTGTGGGCAGGAGTCAGTAAATACAATGATGCAATAAATTATCTTCCATTAGAGTGTCTGCCCAGGAGGGTCTCTAAAGAGATATTTAGCCCAGAAATATTATGGCTTAATCAGGGAAGTTGTTTTAGCATTAATTGGCTTCATTCAGAAAGTTTTACAATAGAAGCTTCAGAGAGACCATTCAGGTTTTCTCTTAAGCATGTCTTTTGACTATGAAATATTCTTTCCCTTAAGTCCTGACTAAATTTTTGTTAACATAATTTTAAGCATGGCTTTATGAAATGTTTGTGACAAACTCTTTAATATATTCACTTGAAGTAGCAAATACGGAATCACTGCAGTGAATGTTGCAGTAAACTGGGCAATTTAATCTTCATTTTGAGCAGTTAGACAGCTAGTCCAAATCAGGAGAACAACTGTAACAAAGCAAAGTCAGAATTCATTAGTACGAAACAAACCCACACTTCTATCCCATTTGAGAATTGGATGCTTTTAGCTAGAGCTAATCTGGAGGAATCACATTTGTATCAAAAACTGAAAGACCATCGAGTACATTGTCCTGCAAATTCTCTAAGGCTCCGCTCACTGCAATGCCAGTGAGACTCTCGCCATCTGAGTTCATCTGCAGGGAGCGCTGACCGTTTAATACCCTGGGCACTTTTCACTTCTGAAATGGGGAGAAAAAAGCTGCCTATCAAAGACATGAATTAATGGTTTAAACTTACAGATAAAAGTCCTAGACTCCAAAAACCTTCAACTGTAGAAATCAGGCATTTTGTAAATACTTTTCCCTCTTGGTAACCATGTTGAAGGAAAGGAACCAGGAATAAAAGGTTATGAAGGAGTGTTTTGTCCTTGTTGGGAAGGCTTAGAACTCTGTAATTTCTTATTTAGCAGAAAAATTACATTTTGCTATGGTATTTGGTGGACATGATTTAAAAGGAAAAAGTAAATCTGAAAAGATGATTTATGTCTTTTCATCTTTTGTTGTTGTTATTGTTATTTTCTAGGAAATCGTCGTAAAAATTATAACCAAAAAGCTGGGTGAGAAATATCATAAGAAGAAGGGTGTTGTTAAGGTAAGAGCTTGCCGTTATGGGTGGAATTGTGAGGGAAGCTGCCGGTCATCCTGGGAAGCTATTTTGGTGTTTCTTGAAAAACAAGCCCAAGTAGCAGAAGTACCACACCTGAAGTTCCTAATTATTTCATGAAAAGGAGGCTGAATTCCTGACTGTTGGAGAAATGTTTCTTTTCTAACCTCAATTTGTATCTAACCTTGGACTGTTCTCTTACTGGGGCAAGTGACATGTATGAAATCCCCAGGGCAAAACTCAGCATGCCTGCCTCCCTCATCAGCAAAGTTCATTCTTTTTAAGTGAAGGGCCAGTATAGTGACACCCCCAGAGGGCTCACAAGGACTTCCTTGTGTTTTGCCTGAGAAACTGTCATTTGGCTACTCTGGGATTTTGAACTTTTTACCAGCATTCCAGTCCTTGTATCTCTTTCCCTTTTCCTGAATGTAGTTTTATCCCAGCGCCTGGCCGTGTGGGTGCCTGAATTGCCCTTCTACTCAACTTTAAAATGGGCAAGATTATCCTCCCACTAGATTCGTAAAGTCTTATTCTGAGGTCACCGGTGTCTTGTTCTCTCCAGATGACAACCTTAACCGAGCTTTGAATCGAGGTCCTTATTGAGAACCAAAGACTGAGAAATCATATGTGGAATCTAGAAAATAGTGTCTTATCTTTTGATTGGAATTTCATTTGTTTTCATTTTATTTACTTTTATCCTTTTAAATGAGCATTCATTATTTAATTATAAAAGTGTTCATTTTACACGACAGGAAGTAATTGACAAATATACAGCTGTTGTAAAGATGATTGATTCTGGAGACAAGCTGAAACTTGACCAGACTCACTTAGAGACAGTAATTCCAGCACCAGGTAAATCTGTTTGCAGACCATTTCCTACATATGTCATCAAAATGAGCAGTTCCTCTCTTAGAACCATGGGTTTTTTATGTTTTGTTTTGTTTTTCTTTTGACATTACTTGATGGTTATAGACATGTTTCCATTTGGGAAATATTAACTGCCAATGCAATTCTTCCCCATCGAGTTTGGGGGTTGTAATAGTGGACTCACACTCTGATCCAGCTGTCCCATGGCAGGAATGGATTTTCACCTTCCGAGAGTACGTATTTTTTCTGAAGCAAAACACAGACATATATGGGTAGAATTTATTATATTAGCCTTGTTATTACAGGTTGAATATCTTTTATTCAAAATGCTTGGGTCCAAAAGTATTTCAGATTTTGGAGATTTTTGGATTTTGGAATATTTGCATATATATAATTGGATATCTTGGTGCTGATACCCAAGTTTTAACATAAAATTTATTTATGCTTTACACATATAGCCTGAAGGTAATTTTATATATTTTCAATAATTTTGTGCATGAAACAATTTTAACTATGTTTTGACTCCAGCCTATCCCGTGAGGTCGGATGTGAAATTGTCCCTTTTTTATATATCTCTCTATCTCATTTATCTATCTAGATAAATAGGTAGGTAAATAGATGGTTTTTAGAGATAGGGTCTAGCTCTGTTGCCCAGGTGGGAGTGCAGTGGTATAGTCATAGCTCACTGAAGCCTTGACCTCATAGGCGTAAGTGATCCTCTTGCCTCTGGATTAGCTGGGACTATAAGTGATGCTGCCATACCTGGCTAATTAAAAAAGAGATGAGGTTTTACTGTGTTGCCCAGTTTGTCTCAAACTCTTGGCCTCAGGTGATCCTACCACCTCAGCCTCCTAGAGCAATAGGATTATAGGTGTGAGCCACCACACCTGACTAAGTGTGGGATTTTCTACTGTGGCATCATGTTGGTGCTCAGAAAGTTTTGGATCTTACAGCATTTTGCATTTCATGTTGGGGGTGCTCCACCGTACTGTGTATATAGGCTTAGTTACCTGAGATAGTCCAGTAAAAGTGTGTGTTCTTTTGTTTTCTTCCCCCCACTTATTTTCTGTGCCATTTGTAAACGTATCCGTATCTCAGTACAAATGCTACTTTGCTTAGATTGTTTACCTGAAACTCAAAAATTTGGCAGGGATGTAACCATTGCTGGTATAATAATGTCAGTCTAAAGCTTCCACTTGTCTTATCCTTTTTTCTTTCTCCCCATAAAGTGAGACACACAGATAGAAAAATTTATATCAACCTGTGGAGGTATAATTGATGTACAGTAAGCTGTGCATCTGTAAGGTATACGATTTGAGAAACTTTAACCTAGGAAACCATCACTGATCAAGATCATGAATCTGCCCCTCTCTTCCCTCTCTGGTCCTCTCTCCCACTCTCTGCTCCTGCCTCCCTGTCTTCCCAGGCAGCGGTTTCTGTCACTACCGATTAGTGCATATTTCTCTAGAATTTTTTATAAATAAAATTTATACAAATGTGAATATGTCCTTTATTTTTGGTGTGGCTCCTCCACTCAGCGTGATTATTCCGGATTCCCCCGCCTTGTTGCATACGAGTGCAGTTCAGTCTCTCGTTGCTGAGTGGTATGTCCCTGTGTGGAGGTGCTGCCGTCCCCCTGTCTACTGGGGATCCCTTCCAAGACCCGTGGATGTCTGAAACCATGGATAGTACTAAAGCCTGTGTATATTATGCTTTTTCCTACACATGCCATAAAGTGAAATTTATAAACAAAGCCCAGTGAGAGACTAACAAAAGCTAATGATGATATCAGACAGTTGTAACAATGATTATAGTCTCTCTCTCTGTATCTTTCTCAAAATACCTTATTGTACTCACCTGTTTTTAGACCAAGGTTGACCAAAGGAAACTGAAACTGTGGCTGAGAGGGACTTCTATACCACAGTTTCTTTGTCTAATCACCTCCGATGGGTATTTGAGTTGTTTACAGCTTTGGGCTGTTTAAAAAAACTGCCATGAACATTCCTGTACAAGTCTGTGTGTTGGTACATTGCTTTCTCTTGGGGTACTTAAGTGGCTCAGTCATATGGAGGTGTAAGTTTGAATTTGTATAAAATTTCCAAGCTGTCTTATGAATTTTAAAAAGAGACAAATTAAAGCAAGCTAAATTTTCATAATTAAGAACTTCTAGTCTGGGAAGGGTTTTATTTTTCATTATACGCCTCCAGTGGAATGGGTGTGGCTGTGATAAGGTGGAAGAAACATGTGGGTATTTCTTTGCATTAAGGTTTATATTCTTTCCTATTGTAGGAAAAAGAATTCTAGTGCTAAATGGAGGCTACAGAGGGAATGAAGGTACCCTAGAGTCCATCAACGAGAAGACTTTTTCAGCTACTATAGTCATTGAAACCGTAAGTTTATTTGTACAGGGAAAATTTCAAAACTCTTTGAAAATGTGCCATAGTTTTTCTTTTAAAAGACTAGTCTTTTACTTAAGAATTTGAGTTTTTTTGGCTTGGCGCCTGTGGCTCAAATGGCTAAGGCGCGAACCACGTACACCTAAGGTGGCAGGTTCGAATCCAGCCTGGGCCCGCCAAACAACAATGACGGCTGCAACCAAAAAATAGCCGGGCGTTGTGGCAGGCGCCTGTAGTCCCAGCTACTTGGGAGGCTGAGGCAAGAGACTTGCTTGAGCCCAGGAGTTGAGGTTGCTGTGAGCTGTGATGCTATGGCACTTTACCCAGGGGGACAGCTTGAGGCTCTGTCTCAAAGAAAAAAAAAAAAAAGAATTAGAGTTTTTTGTGTGCCTTCTCTGATATTAGGACATCTATGATCTTGTTTTTTGTTGTTGTTGTTGTTTGTTTTTAAAGAGACAGAGTCTCACTTTGTTGCCCTCAGTAAAGTGCTGTGACATCACAGCTCACAGCAACCTCCAGCTCTTGGGCTTAAGAGAGTCTCTTGCCTCAGCCTCCTATGTAGCTGGGACTACAGGTGCCTGCCACAGCACCTGCCATTTTTTTGTTGCAGTTTGGCTGGGGCCGAGTTCGAACCACCACCCTCTGTATATGGGGCTGGCACCCTGCTCACTAAACCACAGGCACCACCCTATAATCTTGTTTTTTCCCAATGACTCTGCCATTGCTAAAGCATTTTATTTTCTAATTACAAAAGAAATGTGTGCTCATCATATAAAACCTGGAAAATATAATTTAATAGAAATTATTTTTAAAATTACCCATAATCCCCCAGCCTGCCAATAACCTCCATTAATATTCTGGTCTGTAATAGAAAAGGGCAGTACTGCCTGGAGGAGCAGAGAGGCTAGTGGAGGACTTGCAGCCAGTTTCACAGGGAGAGAGGATTTGTCCCCTTCCCCCCCTGCAGGCTTCTGCATGTCCGTCTCTCTCTCACCTTTTTTCCTCCATGACAGGGGCCCACTTCGAACGCTTTTTGGAAGTGCTCTAAACTTTCTCTTTGTTCTTCCTAAATAAAATCTCTTTAAAAAAAAAAAAATATATATATATATACACACACACACATATATATATTTACACACACACACGTACATATTTGCACACATATATATTTATTTTTTTGGTCTGTTCTTTTCCAGTCTTCCTAGTTTACAAACTCGTACACACTTGTGCACTTTTCTTGCTTGACTCCCCCTCCAAATATAATATAAACTCAATTTGGCCTAGCAAAATTAGTAGGGGCACTGTAGTTATAGTTAATGGGATGGGACCCACAGAAGTCAGCCATATTTTTAAATGTCCCCACTTCTTCCATAAAGCATTTTAAGAGCTAATAAATTGCTTCTAAACAGCTTCAGCTTTTCAGCTATTTGCCTAATATACCCAAAGGTTTGGCTCACTCCTTGTTTTCTAAATACGCAGTTCTTATTAGAAAAGTGTAATTGGCCATAATAATGAAGAATTCAGCCTAGGTCATGAGCTATCTGGGAGTTTATTTCCTTTAAATACAGTGATTATTGTATATTAAAAGAATGACAATTTCAAAAAGTATTTTTTTAGGAGGAGTTATCAGTAAGGAAAAAAAAAGCTCAAAACCTTAGTCTAGGATTAGCGTCTTCGTAGTCATCGTGGTGTTACAACAGAGAGAAACAACTTTTAAATTTTAAACAAAAGATTTAATAAAAATAAAATGATTAGTTGAAAATTATTGAGCTCATAGTCAGATTAAATTCTAGGTATTGTTTTAGTACCTTCTGTGTCTTATTTATGTAATGAGTTACGTAATTCCCATTATATAAATGCCAACAACCAATAATACAGGCACTACTCGTATCCTGGCTTTTGTCCCAGTGGGATTTGTGGGTCGGGGTCTTCTCAGCTCCCTGGCTGTGCCATCTTCAGCAGGTGGTGTCTCCAGCTGCCATTCTTGTGCTTCAGGCAGGAGGAGATGAGGGGAATGTGGAGGGAAGCACGCCTGGGCCGTCGCCTCTGTTCACTTTCGTGCTCTGGACTCGGTCCATGGCTGCAGCTAACCACAGGGCGAGCCAGGAAGCAGAGGGGAGGCTGCACAGCCAGCGAGCTCTGCCACTGCATCTACTGGTAACACATAGGTGTCATCAAAGAAGACGGGGTCGTTCTCACTGAGAAGGCCGAAGATTGCCTTTAAAATTCAGAGTTACAGAAATGCTAACTACCTTAATGGTGTTTCAGGGATATGGAAAAGGTAAATTTGTATCTCTATGTGTGGTGTCTTTTATTTACATACGTGTTTTTAATTTCTTAAATTATTTTAATTTGTAGGGCCCTTTAAAAGGACGCAGAGTTGAAGGAATTCAATATGAAGACATTTCTAAACTTGCCTGAGTTTGAAAATTTGTCAACGACACATTAAAATCTTAAAGCATCAAATTGGTGTTCACCATGGCATTATGAGACTCTACTGTGTTAGGGTATTTCTTCTGTATAAAAGAAATAGAGTTTTAAAAATATTGTATAGTTGTTTAGCTAAACTTATAGACAAATATAATAATGTGTCCTGAAGTATCAAAACTATGTAATTTTCCCCATTATTTTTGTTTCCTTTGTAATATTTAATGATTTTTTTATCTACATTAAAGAATGTTATTGTAAAGCGTTTTATAATTCAGAATCATATAGTTGGAGGAAGTCTTTCCTATACACTATATTTTCAGTAGTGGAGTAGTAAAGTTGAACTATAAATAAGTTTTAAAACATCAAACTGGAAACGTATAGCAGCTGTATGGTGATGTCATTCGTACACTGTAGAGGTCACTCATTTCAGGGGTACAGGTCATTGGTGTTAGTGCGTCCATTTGCAGAGTTGTGTAACCGTCACCACTATCTAACTGCAGGTTTGCGGCATCCTGGAATAAAGCCCTGTATACAGTCAGTCCCTCTCCCCCTCTGCCTGGCTGCCGGCAGCTGCTAACCTACTCTGTGTCTCTGTGGACTTGCCTGTTCTGGACGTTCCGTATCAGTGAAATCATGCAGTGTGGGGTTTTTCATAATCCAGCTCCTCACACTAGCATGATATTCCCAGGGTTCACCCGTGCTGTAGCTTGTAGGAGTGCTTCTTTGGTTTTACTCCTAAATATTTCATTGTATGGATGTGTGTATGGATTCCAGCCTCCCAGAGTGCTGGAATTACAAGGCTGAGCCAAGTGTGCCTGGCTTAATAGAAATTTTAATAATTTGAATCTAGTTCCTTTCAATGAGACTCTTACCCAATATTCTGCATATAATTATATACCCCAAGATTTTCTTTATTTTTGAACCACTGTACACACATAAAACACTAGAAATCAAGCTAAACGTACATTTAAAGAGTTTTAAATTCAAGATTTTTACCAAGTAAAAATTAATTACAAGATCCTACTTTTGAAGTTTGTGTTGAATATTTGTAGTATAAGACTAGAACTTTTGAATAGAAAATGGAAAAAGTTACAAGATTTTAAAAACTTTAATAAATATCCATTTTTAATAGAAAAATACAGCTTAAAGGCAGTGCTGTTTACCTCTTCAGCACTGAGGTTATCTTTAGATAATAGAAATAATCACATTTCTTTAACATTTTACGATTAGGTCTAAAGGCACTCGCTTTATCAAATATAAGTTGGATATATCAAGCAGGAGTTTTGTCTACTTTCTAAAATGAAGATTGATTTCTGGAAATTATGGAGATTTTCATAAAAGCGTACCTATAAAATGTGTTTTTTTAACACAATTTTAACAGTTTGACCTTTGAAAATATGTTCATTTTAGGAATAGATTTTTTTTTTTTTAAGGAATAGATATTTTAAAGAAATGAAGTCTGACATAAGGTTTAAAATCTAAGTGGTATTACTTATAGGAATTGTTTAAATACAAACAAAATAGCAGTTCTGCTAGAAGAACCAAGAAAGGCTCTGTTCCAGGTATATTAAATTTCTATGAAACTTGACTCATAGACTGAGGGGGCTTTCAGAGAATTTGGAACTATAGTTCTTTCAAAATTCACTTAGGAATATGAACACTGCACAATTAGCCGTCGGGGCACAAGTTTAAATATGCGCAGAATTTGGGAACAACTACAACTCCAAGGTCATCTTTGGATACGATCAGGGAAGCAGGGCTGATACGTGGTGGTGATTTGATAAACAGACACCTACCCAATTGTGTTGTATCTTATTTGGAGAATGGTTATGTGAACAGAGTGAGGTTAATCAACTAAGGCTTTTTGATAGTTAATTGTTAATGCGTCAACTTGACGGGCCACAGCTGCCCAAATAGTTGGTCGAAGATTATTCTGGATATTTCTGGGTGGGTGTTTAGGGTGAGGGTAACATTTGGATTGGTGGGCTTAAGAAAAGCAGACGCTCTCCCTAATGGGATGGCCTGGTCCAATCAGCCAAAGGCCTAAATAGAACAAAGAGGCTGACATCCCCAGGGGACAGGGACTTCTCCAGTGGAACTCCCTTCTCCCAGGGGACAGGGACTTCTCCAGTGGAACTCCCCTCTGGCTTCACCAGCAGCAACACCGGCTCTTCCCTGGGTCTCCTGGACCTTCAGCCTACCCTACAGAGTTTGGACTTACCAGCTTCTGTAATCACATGAGCCAATGTTTATAATTAATCTTCTGGTTCTGATTTCCTAGATAAGTATGGCTAATCTAAGCTGCAACCAAAAAGGGTCTCAGGGGCCAACACTAGGAAGAAAATCTTGGCTCAGCATATTGGGCCATCCTAGGCACCTTTGTAGCTGTGCTGGCTAAACTTACCTCTCTATCCCTACAGCCAGCGACAGGGTTTTAACATAAATCTCTATAAAGCAACTAAAATAACTTCCCCATTTATAGTCTATGCTCACAAAATAACCTCATTATTGAACTTCCCGTATAAGTAACACCGTAAAAATGCCCTCAGTCTGCAAAGCTGACAACCTGCCTTTCAACAATACCAAGATTCGATCATACCAAATGCTAAACCCAGGGCTCTGTCCAGATGCCTGCTGGATCGACACACCTCTGTATCTGAAAACACAAAATCCTAAAACTCCATTGCAAAATGTTTATTTTTTCAGACAGGTTTATAGGCTTTATAAACTACCATAATATCTGGTTGTCTTTAATTATTCAAACTGAAGAATACGTGCAAAGGCGGCAGGGAAAAAATGTGTATTTATACATATAATTTCCAAAAACTCTGTAAACCTTTAAGGCCTCTTGAGAAAGCTGTAGAGCTGAGGCACGAAGTAGTCCTTGTAATGCCCGTCGATGAAGCCTTTCCCACTGTTGTGCACAAACCAGCAGGGGACGTCTGTTCCAAACACTATGTCTGTCCTGTAGTCTTTCTGTAGGCCCCTGCAAGGGAGACCGTGGGCAAGGTTAGGGGGCAGACCACAGTGCCATCTGCAACCTTTCTGTAGGCCCCTGCAAGGGAGACCGTGGGCAAGGTTAGGGGACAGACCACAGTGCCATCTGCAACCTT